CTGTGTTCTGTTGGCCCTGTTTTTACTGCCTACGAGAAATGGGACACCCAGGGCCAGGAAGCTAATGACAGGAGTGTAATGAAGTCACAAGCTGTAGGTGAATCCAGCCCCAAACTGGGACAAGGGCAAAGGTTCATGTTCAGGTTTTGGTCTACAAACATTGTTTCCCTCCACAGAGAGTAACTAGATACTGGGTTTAAGAACTTCTCCAACAGGGCCGGCCGAATGGCTCAGTTGGTTAAGAGCTCGCTCAAGAGTTTGAGCTCTGAGCAACAGCGGTTCGAGGCCAGCCCGAGCTGAGCAGCCGCTAAGCTGCCAATAGGTAGCAGGATGGCTCAGCTAAAAAAAAGAACTTCTCCACTAACAAATACTTATAGTTCGAATGGTCTATGTTGCCAACTAAAAGCAAAATTATGTGAAGTCTAGCTTGAAATAGGACAGCTATGTGTTTGTGAAACGTGGGGAGCCTAACAAGAGCCTGCCTAAATGAAATACCACACCAGCCTCCTATAAAGGTGAGCAAAGGGTATTCAGTAGGCTAGTCTAAATCCCACACTCAGATAAAGTCAGACGAGAAGAGAACCTTATATGTGAGATATATTGTCTTGGCTCCTGAAAGGATTTTTTTAAACTAAACTGTACTTGTTTTGTTTTCATCTATCTTTTTGAAAAGGCTGGCTTCTCATGCCATCTACCTAATGAAGCATTTTTCATCGTATACAAAAGGTCCTTGGGAGAAATTTCCCCAGGCCTGGCATCAGCACTTCTTCTTCCAGGACAATTGGTTTGTTGCTATCTCATGGACACTGTGAATTTTTTAACTGACCTGATTTTGTGTTGATAGAAAGGCGCTGTTATGGTTTTGAGGAGAAACAGGCCTGGGTGATGCTGGAGGTTCATTTCCTTTTCCCGGCAGAGAGCTGACTCAGCAGGTCTGCGTTAACTGAACAGAGGCAGAGGCTGGTCCCAGCTGCCGACTTCCTAAAGCTATGCCTTTCTGACCAGCCCGCCTGCTCCACCAGGACTTCCTATTGCTACACAGCTACAATCATACAAATGTCCATCTAATCGTATCAAAAGTGCAGCATGACAAGGCAGGGCTAGTCTCTACCGAAAAATTGGCTACCGTGCACTCAGTCTACCTCTGATGGGAGTAAACTGTGGGATAATGAGAATTTGGGGAGATGTGTGCTCCACTATGTCTGTGCTGGTAAATTTTTCCTGACTAAACCCCATTCTATATCTTTTCCAAGTCTTATTGCTCACATGTGGAAAATATACAGGATTCTAGGATTTTCTTGTTTTTAATTTAATGTTTTGATTTGTTCATATATTTACACGATTCAAAAATCAAAAAATATTTTAAAGATGTATATAGTAAAAATTTCCCTTCTAACCCTATCAACCATCTACTTGGACCCCCCCCCACAAAATACATAATTGTTAGTTTATAGATTATAAACTAACGCTCAGAGTTTTTAATACATATACAAGTACATGCAAATATATTTTTGCTTTTCCCATGTTTTTTAGGCACATGTTAGCATGTTGTAAACACAATTGTTCTGAACTTTGCTTTTTTAATTAAAAATAATTTTGGAGAATTTTTTATATTATATGTAAAAACTTTCTCATTCTTCTTTGGTTTTTTTTCGGCTCTTTCTAATAGTACACTAAGGTGCCATAATTTAGTTAACCACTCCTCTATTGAGGGCATTTATGTTGCTTCAAATATTTGCAATTAGAACAGTGCTATAATGGGTAATCCTATGCGACACTCTTCACAATTATGCCATTCAATCCATAGGACAAATTTCTGGAATAGGAATTGCTGGATCAAAAGGTATATACAGGGCCAGCAGAGTGGCGTGATGGTTAAGAACTGGCTTGGGACGCCAGAGGACCCCGGTTCGGATGCCACATATGAGGGCCAGTGACACTGCCCTCTACAGCTAAGATGCTGAACAAACAGCTCAACCTGGAGCTGGGCTGCCGTGACTCTCTGGTGACGGCTAGGCTGCAGCCCCTGCTGCAGTGGGTTGCCATGGGCTACCATGTGTAGCCAGCAGCCAGTGTGAGTGGCCAGCAACCAGTGTGAGCGGCCAGCAGCCAGTGTGAGCGGCCAGCAGCCGCCGTGAGCGGCCATCCAGAAGCCGGCGACTGATCTGCCTCACCCAGGAAGAGCGCAACGATGGTGCCAACTTGGGCCAGTGAAGCAACGTCCTCCACAACTAGACTGAAGAACAAAAGGACAGCAACTTGTCTGTTCCCGTTCCCCCAACTCCCCAGCACTGTTCCCATCCCCCAATTGCCCAATAAAAAAAAAAATCTTAAAAAAAAAAAAGGTATATACAGTTATATCTTTGATAGATAAAGCGAAAGTGTATTCCATATGAGTTATACCAAATTACACTCTCACCAGCAGTATATGAGAGTATCTGCTTCCCCACAGGCTCAGTAACATAATGCCTTACCAGTTTGTGGATTTCTGCAAAGTTATAAGGCAAGACAATGGTATCTTGACTTAGTTTTAATTTTAATTTACATTTCTCTTATTATGATTGAAGTTGGGCATTTTTCCGTTTCAATGAACTGTCTACTCACATCTTTTTCCCATTTTGTTATTAGGTTTTTGGGTCTTTTCTTTTTTGGTTTGTACAAGCTATTTATATGTGGAGAAAATTATCCCTTACCTATAATGTTATTATACTCTGCAGTTATTTTGTTTGTTTGTTCCTTGTTTGCTTTTGATCATTTTACTGTTTCCATAGTTTTGCCTTTTCTGGAATGTCGTATAGTTAGAATCATACAGTATGCAGCCTTTTCAGATTGGCTTCTTTCACTTAGTAATACGCCTTTAAGTTTCCACTTATATGTCTTTTCATGGATTGATAACTCATTTTCATTACTGAATTGTTACTTCAAAGTTTTTGCAAGTATGAATGAAGCTTCTGTAAACATCTATATGCAGGTCTTTCTCTAGACATAAGTTTTCAACTCTTTTGGGTAAATACCAAGGAGCACAACTACTGAATCATGTGGTAAAAGAATGTTTGATATGTGTAAGAAACTGCAAAGTGGCTGCATTTTGTGTTCCCAGCAGCAATGAATGAGAGTTCCTGTTGCTCTACATGCTCGTCAGCATTTGGTGTTGTCAGTGTTCCAGATTTTTACCATACTAATAGTTGTGTACTGGTACCTTGTTATTGTTTTAATTTGCATTTCTCTCATAATTTATAATGTGGAGCATTTTTCATACACTTATTTGCCATCTGTATATCTTCTTTGGTGAGGTACCTGTCAAGATCTTTGACCCATTTTTTAATTGGGTTGTTTGTTTTCTTATTATTGAGTTTTAAGAACTGGATAACAGTCCTTTATCAGATGTGTCTTTTGCAAATATTTTCTCCCAGCCTGTGGCTTGTCTTTTTATTATATTGAGTTCAGAATTTTATATCAGGTTCTCAAAAAGATGTGAAGAATCACAGTCTTACTGACCCATACCTAAAGTTGGTTTAAATCCCTGATGTGCTAATAAGTCCCATGTAGCTCACTCTATAGCCTCTCGGACACTGGGAGTTATAGCTAAAAGTATATATCTTCTATTTCTATGTACACAGTTGGGTCATTGTAACATGGATTACTGAATATGGAAGATCACCCAATAAAGAGAGGTTTAGTTGTTTAAAGAGAAATAAAATAAAATAAAATAAAAATTACAGCAAATAATAATCTCTATAGAGTGGCAAAAATAACAAACATAAAACAGTAATGAGTTCAATGAGTTTAGGGATAAGAATTTTAAAAGAGTTTTTTTGAAGAGAAATTAGAAATGTCAAAAGCAATAAAGTTAAAACAGGTTTTTTCCCTCAAAAAAAAAAAGGAGGAAGAATAGCTTAAATTTACTTCCAGTCTTGCAGTGATATGTTGATGGTGTCTTAGCATTTCACTTCTAAATTTTAAATATTTTCTTTTTTATCTCTTGAAAATATTTTACTGGCTTTAATCAAAAGTAAATCAGTATAATGTTTACTACATTATACCTTTGAAAAACAAGCCCTAGTAATTCTAAAGGAAAAAGATGTAATGCTTTTTTATTGGAGATGACTACAAATAGAAAATAAACATAGATCTTCTTTGTCTCTAGCAAGTAGAAAGAGATAAATATAGCCTTCTATGTGACTTAAATGATTTTTAGATTTTAAGTATATACATAAAAATACCTTGTTTTTGTGCAAGTTACTCTTAAGCATGACCAAAACCCAGCTAGACCACTGGCAAGTGGGAGCAGAAGTGGAAGGGGGAAAGAATCAACCTCAGCGTGGGCCCTTCTCCTGCAACCTATAATCCTCTGCACATTCCCCTTACATTAACTAAAGCTCACCCTCACGAGTATTAAGATATAAAATTATTATCAAGAAGTCATAGAGTTCTCAAAAATGTTCACCTATATATTAGCAATAATCAGAATATATGAATAGAAATTTGCCTGGTTTAAAAGAAATGTATGTTTCTTTTTTAAATGTCTCATTCATTTAATAGGTATGTATAAATTTGGTCTTTCGTTATACTTCATTTTTTACTCTTTCTGTTTCCTTTTTAACAAATGTGTGCTCAATTATTATTAGACTTGTTAAACGATGCAAGTGAAAAATCTATGTCTAGGAACCTGAAATCTAGCCATCTCCTAATCTAACCAAAGAATGCCCATTGGTAGACCCAAGGAGAATAAACATTCAGCAGTGATACCACATATCACTGAATGATCCATCACAGAGCTTATGTCCACTAAAGCGCAATGCATCAATCTTCACAATGCAGCCACAAACAACCCATCAGAAATAAATAGCACTCATCATGAAACCTACAAGGCATCCTGTTTTAAAGCACTGTCATCTTACCATGACTTGCTGGGAATTTTCTCTTCAGCTCGTAGTCTTCAAAATGAATTTTTAGACCAATTGAATTCTATTTAACTATGCTGAATTTCTTGGTTTCAGATGGCTATACCACTGACGACATTGAGTTTTACTGGAATGGAGGAGAGGGAGCAGTCACTGGAGTTAATAAAATAGAGCTTCCTCAGTTTTCAATTGTTGACTACAAGATGGTGTCCAAGAAGGTGGAGTTCACAACTGGTGAGGATGTTTCCCCCAAAATGAACTAGGGGCACTATGAAAAAAAAAGAAGATGGTTTCAATCAAATGATGATCTGATTTTTTTTTCTTTCTGTTTTTTTTTTTCAACTCAGGGGCATATCCACGACTGTCACTGAGTTTTCGTCTAAAGAGAAACATTGGTTATTTCATTTTGCAAACCTACATGCCTTCCACACTGATTACAATTCTGTCCTGGGTGTCTTTTTGGATCAACTATGACGCATCTGCAGCCAGAGTCGCACTAGGTAATGTACTCTCAGCACTGCAGAGAGCTGGTGGGATTTAGCATGAAACAAAAAACCGATGTTAGAAATTATAGGCAAGAGCTTCTCTCATAGCAAGCCAAAGAATGAGATTGCCATAAGACTGCTTGATAATGAAGCATCTAAGTGTAAACAATTACAGAGTGAATGTTTTACAATGTAATATCTCTTTAGCATTTTACTAAAAAAAAAAAGTCTTGGAGTACATTCAACATTATATAAGTACTTTTTGGAGTATATTCCTAAGTTCTCATGACACTAATTTTTACTAACTTGGTGATGATTTTCTCTTTAATTTCTGTTTTTTACTGTGGAGAACATTTACAATGCATTATTCTCAAATGGATTTAGAAAAAGCTAAAGGTGGTGATTATTAACAAGCTATGTCAATTCTTGGGAAATACTATCTTTCAAACATTAACTAACGTTAAATCGTATTGATCTGAGTCTCCTTTAAATGGAGCTCATTGCACTTGACTGAGGCACAGACAATTCATCAACTATATTAATGATCTGTGATCAGGACAGAATAAACATTGTTTCCTTCCTGGGGGAACAAAATTCAGAATTAATCTTCCTGTGGTTGAATAATTGCTGCAAGCTGAAAGGCTTTATTTGAGACTTTAAATGGTTTCTTGGGAAGTTAGAGTGTATAAGTTCTGTTTGATAAATCTGAGCATGTGTGGATTTCTCATCATTTGATCATAGAGCCATTTCAGTTATCACTTTCCAGGGTATTCTTATATATATATACACACACAATGCAAAAAAACCCCATAATTTCTGGCTAAGACAATATATACTTCTTTTGTCTCCTGAGACTACTGAACTGGGTTAGATGATTAGTAGGCCCGCTCATGCCTAGACTAATTGTCATCTTTTCAGCTGATTTCTAATGGCTGAGTGCATGAGGCTCACAATGTCAAGTGCTGGACGCACCCTATCAACTTTTGAACATTCCAAGACCAAGGAAAGCAAACAAGTGGTTTATCATATCATATGTGTGTATCTGCAAATATTATTTGAATGTGAACATGAGTATGTATGTGCTATGATTAAGGAAAGCACATTGAATGACGTCCACAGAAGGGAATAACAACTATCAAGGTCATGAATTGTGGCTCTCTTTACACTTCTCTCCTCAAAGCTAATGATATTTTGATTAGATATATCGGCATATAAAGGTGCTGACTTAACCTGTGCTTTGAAATGTAAAACCTATGATATTTTAAAAGTTATCTAAGTGGAAAAGACACTCATTTACTAGCTACCTTGCTTAAAAATTTAAATCAAGGAGTAAAAGCAGAAATGCAATTAGTGGACTTGTGAATGTAGTGCTTTTTCTGTCAAGGATATTAGCTAGAATTATATTAGGTGAAATTTAAATGTTTATGCAAAGAAATAGGTAAGACCACTCATGATGGCATTTCACATCAGTGCAGCACAATTTAATTCATCACTGATCTGAACCATTTTAACTTTTTGTATACTAGTCTTGACTTCCAACTTTATCTGTTCTCCTAAAAGATGAATAGTCAAATCAGGGAATCTATCTAGAATAATCCTATTGGCAAATGAGTGCTAACTTACTTTTTTTTCCTTTTCATTTCCTACCTTCCATACCCTTTGCCAGCTTTCCTTTGTCTGTAATAAATCATTTCACATTCCTGTTTTTATTTTTAAGGACCTCCATCAAGTTTCAGGTTTTACCTTCTCATCGCTCTGCTTTCATTTTAAATACCTGTGTTTAACACCACCTTGCTTTTTTGCCCCTAGATGGGTGATCTACAACAAAATAACTAATCTCAGAGTTTCTGTTTATTCAGGTATAAATTGGGAATAACATACCTGCCCTATCATACACAGCAAGCTCTTATGATATCCACATAAGATAATTCATAACTAAGTGTTTAAAACTGTTAAATCATATACAAATGTGTCATATTAGTATTACAACACAAACTGCCTGCGATTCCAACTTCTTTCTCACTTCTTGTTTTTCCCAATTATCATTTCATCATCACAATCATCAACACCAAAGTTATTATGCAGCCACACAAACATTATACGGTTAAGAATGTTATATCTAACCAAGTAGATGAAACAGAATCTTCCTTTTAAGAGCTTACAGACAAACTTCTTTAACAAATCCAAGTTGAATTTTTAAAGTAACCTTTTAGAGGTAATATTTGAAAAACAAAAGCAACGAGATTATATTATATCTAAGAAATACATAAGTCAAATGCTGGATGCAAATTAGAAACTTTCTTATATGTTCCTTCTTTTAGTGCTATCTCTCTATGAATGATGCATTCTTATTTTAAATTGTAATGCTGACTTTGTGACCTGGATATATTATAGAATCATGGAGTGAAATAAGTTTTTTCAAGCTGGTCACCAACTTTCAGTTTGCTGGTGGCTGCTGTGGGGATAAGTATCACATAGACAGATTTAAGAGGAAGAGAAAGAAAAGAAGGAAGAAGAAAGACGTGGCATGTAGCAGAATGAGGAACATTTGACATTAGGCCTTTCCAACTACTTTTCTTTTTCCTTTGTGCAATTTTTTTAATGGTTTTCAACCCTCCACTAACAGTGTGTCTTATAATTTGTTCATGGACTATGTAGGGAGTCGGTAGCTTTGTCTGTCAAAATGCCTGCCCTTTCTGCCCAGTGGTTTATCGTATTGCTGCCATCATTCTGCAGCCCCAGTAAGGGAATGGCATCTGTCCTCTCAATCTTAAAAAGGGCAACTTCACAAGCGTGCTCAGCTAAACTGTGTCTTTCTGTTTCACAGGAATCACCACAGTGCTGACAATGACAACCATCAGCACTCACCTCAGGGAGACCCTGCCAAAGATTCCTTATGTCAAAGCGATTGATATTTATCTGATGGGTTGCTTTGTGTTTGTGTTCCTGGCTCTTCTGGAATACGCCTTTGTAAATTACATCTTCTTCGGAAAAGGCCCTCAAAAAAAGGGAGCTGGCAAACAAAACCAGAGTGCCAATGAGAAGAACAAACTGGAGATGAATAAAGTCCAGGTGAGGTATTAAATATTCCTAACAATAGTCTTCTGAAATTTATCAGCAGCCTGGTGATCAGGGCTCCAGAAAAAGAAGAAAAAAGAACCAAAATATTAGTTTATCTTTAATAAGGTTCAAACAACCCTTCATTTTACATATTTGAGAACTGAGGATTGAAAAAGTTAGGCTGAAGTTTACATAGGTTAATGACATACCTGGGCCTAAAACTCAGCCCCAAGTCCATTATTCTTCATTCTAAACTATACAGTTGTAAAACTGTGTGCAAAAAATATGTAAAATAAAATAATGCCGGATTTGCTTGATCAATAAATAAGATAATTAAAATGAATAGACTCTGTACTCTGAAGTAAAAATGAGGCAATATAGCACAGTGGTTACAACCACAGACTGAAATCCAATGACTTGGGTTTGATTCCCAGTTCTGCCACTTATTTGACTTTATAACCACGTAAATCAACCTATGTAACTCCTATCGAATGTTTGTTCTTAATGTCGTCATTCATAAATGGAGATTAAAGTATGCCTATCCCACAGAGTTGTTATAAGGACTAAATGAGGTTTCTTTCTTCCTTAAGTCTAGTATTTTTACAAATACTTAGAATACAGTAAGTACTCAGTAAGTATTAACTATTATCATTATATATAAGACATTGTCACACTTTTTCCTGTTTTTCAGTGGTAGGCCTTATGACCTATGCTCTCACTGAGTGGAATCAAATTAAAATTAATGTTGTGTTTATTCTTTTAAAACATCTCTGTAACCTCTACTTGTATGCCATTTTCACTGGAATCAATTTAAAACTATGTACATTGAAGTACTGTATTCACTACAAATTGTTTTCAAGATGGCACACAGCAGGGTGACAACTCAACTGTTCATCCATGTAGCCACTGTCCTGAGCACTGGAGATACTGCTCTGAATGAGAAAAAGCTCCTTGTCCTCCTAGAATTAGATTCTAACATGGAAAGGTAGGCAATACATACACAAACAGTATTATGAGGATAATTGCAGGTAATAATAAGTGCTACAAAGAAAGCAAAGCAAAGTAATGGGCAAGAGAACGATTTGCTTCAGGTTCAAGGGAACAGGAACCTTTGCGTGATTAGGAAGACCTCTTTGAAGAATTACCATTTGTTCTGAGACCTAAGTGGAGACCAGCAACAGCCATACCATGCTGGCTTTAGGCAAAAGAAATAACATGTACAAAGGCTCGGAGGCAGAATTGGCTTTGTGTCTTAAAGCACTGAGAGAAGACCAATACAGCAAGAGCATAGGAAGTGAGGGAGAAAATAGAGTGGTATGAAATGTCATTGGAGAATCAGGCAGAAGCCAAATTATGAATCTTCAAGGTATATCTTCATGTTCTTTAGTAGGATATCAAATTTGGACAAACCCTGTCAGGTGATAAAAAAAATTATAAGCAAAGGGAACATATAGATTCAGCCACGTGGTCAAAAGTCAAAGCAATGCATTCAAATAAATTGTTACTGTTGTGTGAAGTGCTGTGCTCAAAGCTATGGGAGAAGGAACAGGCACGGTACTTGCCCTCAAAAATCTTCTGATCTTGCTAGGAAAGAAAAGCACATTCATGAGGTGATTGGATTGTAAAATGAGACAGGACAGCATTTATCTTGAGAAATATAACTGAAAGAAAGGAGCTTTCCACTGTTTGATTGTAACCCTCCCAGCTTTGAAAGTATTTTAGCGGTAGTTTTCAAGACGACTTCTTTTCTACCCCCATCCCCACCTCAGTTGCCTTCTAAACTTATTAGCTGGTCCTCGGCATAGCTTGAAGTGTGTGTTAACTGATATGTCATGGGGGAAAGCCCTACATAAATAAAGTGGTATAGGTTTACTGGTGGGAAGACTCAGAAGATAGGAACTAGATGGAAACTCAAAGGTAGGTAGAACTGGGAAAGTA